CCAGCGTCGACCAGCTGGTCTCCAGCGACCCTTCCGCCTCAGCCTTCCAAGTAGCCAGAACTACAGGCGTGTGCTACCATGCCTGGCTCATTTTTGATTTTTTATTGTAGAGACGAGGTCTTGCCATCTTGCCCAGGCTGGTCTCGAACCCATGGGCTCAGGCCTCCCAAAGTGCTGGGAAGACAGGCTGAGCTCCTGAGCCCAGACTGTTTCTACTATTTTAACAATAACTTTCAGTATCTAATTTAGTAACATTTTTGTTGTAAAAATGTGAGAAAAAATAAAGTTAGAAAGAAAGAAAAGAGCAAAAACAAGAAAAGAGGAGAAGAACACCAATTTGAAGTTGCTACTATGAACGTTTTGAAGTATTATTCCTGAACGCTTATATTTTCATACACATATCAGGGGATGCCCGAATGGTTCTTCCTCTTCTCAAGTTAGTATGAAATCCTATTTTTCTAGTATTTTGTTTCCTGTTTTATATTTAAATGGATCGTATGAAATACGTAAAAGCAATCTGCCTGGCATTTATTTCAGAACACAGTGTAATAAGGAGCTACTTTTTCTCTCAAACAGGAACTGGTTGCCCCCAAACCAAGTATTTGATATCCTGCTGTTTCCCAGTCGATACTGTGAGTGTCAGTGTCATATGTGTCCCTCGACACTGTTAGTGCCCTACTGCTCTGGCCTTACATAGGGGCAAGCGACTCATTGCCCAGGGCCACTTCAGAGCATTTTCTGGCATCATTTTTGTGTATTTATATACACATCCTGTGTTACACAGAAACACGGTTTTCTTTTTTTTTCACTCAAGTTACATTGTGAGCTCTCAAAAATTATTGGAAAATATCATTGAATGTAACTTTTTTTAGGATTTTACTTTAGAAAGCAGAAAAGCAAAGAGTAGAAAATTAAAATGGCTTGCAATCACATCACCCAAGCAACGTCTGTGAACATCTTAAAAAGTAGAAGTCAACTATACAGCTAAATAGCTAAATACGTTCAAGCACTAAAAGGAAAAAGAAGTAGAAAAAGCGTCTCTCCCCAAGCCCTGCCTAACCCATAGTCCTTCTCTCCAAAGTAAATTACTAAAAGTTTTCTTTGTATTTTTCCTAAAGATGATGATGATTGTGTGCATGACAATGTAAGCTTGTAACTGTGTCCGTTTCTGTGTACACGCATATCCATAGATGCATGGTTGTGTGTATATGAGGTTCTACATAGAACTAAGGAACGCTACTACATGCACTTGCTTTCTTCACTTCACGACAAATCTTGGAGAACTTTCATAACCAGCACGCAGATTCCTCTTTCTGGGTTACGGCTGCCTGATGTTTTCCTGCACATGTGTATTATAACTGGTTTGGCTAATTCCCCGGTAATGAATATTTGGATTGTCTTAAGTTTTTTGTTTGACTTTGCTATTACAAAGAATAATATAAGAATGCCTTTTAAAATGTATTTTGGTGGGCTTTTTCAAGAATACTCAAGAAAGAAATTTCTAGCAGTGGCATTATCAAGTCAAAGGATGCATGTTGAATTTTGGAGGATATTGAGAAATAGAAAATTGTTCTCCAAAAAAGGATGAATCGATTTATACCTCCACCAATAACAACTAAGAGTATCTGTTTCCTACTTTTTGATATTTATATTTATTTACTTTTAAATTTAATTTTAATTTTATGCTTCTCAATATTTTACATTTGGACAATCAGTAAAACAAACAGCGTCTCCCTTCCATCCTGGATAGAGTGAAGCACCTCTTTGTTGTTCTATTTCTGTGACGCATCTATATTCTTGTTCATTTTTCTCCCAGGTAACGTACGTGCTGGTTTGTACAAGCATTTTAGACATTAAGAAAATTATCCCTTTGTCTGTCATATGTTCGTAGATATTTTCCCTAGTATTTTGTTTATAGTGAGTTTTGCTACTAATTATTTAAAGGTTTTTCAGGTCAAATTATACATATATGTATATTATATATATATTTATAGCTTTCAAGTATCTTATTTAGAAAGATAAATAAGATTCCTCATTCTAAATTTATAAATACATCTGCCCATATTTTCTTCTAGATCCCTCATGCTTTTTTATAATTTTTAATAAATGTTTTGAAATATAACAAACATGTAGCAAAGGGCATAAGCCATGAGTGTACAACCTAATGAGTTTTCACAAAATAATCATCCTTTTATCCCCCTTTTCCATGAAGCTGAAATCCAGATCAAGTCAGGAAACAAAATTTCACTGTAGCCCAAGGCCCTTTCATGTCCCTTTCAGCCATTGCTGCTATTCCGGGGTTAGCACTACCTTGACTTCTAACACCATAGGTTAGTTTTTCCTATTTTTGAATTTTAAAAACATAGACTCATACAGCATGTACCCTTTTGACTTTTTTTTAGCTCCACCTGGTGTCTGTGAGGGTTATTCGTGTTGTGCGTGATTATATTTTGTTATTCTTACTGCTGTGTGGTATTCCATTTGTAAATATATACTGCTTTATCCATTCCACTGGCAATAGACACTGGTTTTTTTTTTAAACTCCTAATTTGTGGCCATTATAAAGAGTTCCCTTATAAAGGTGTCTTTGGATGAATATGTGCCCAGGAGTGGACTTGCTGAGTCTGGCTTTAGCGTCTCTTTCCAAAATGGTGGTACCAGTTTATCCTCTCATTGGCCGTATGAGTTGCCCTCGCTTCATTATCCTCACCAACTTCATATGTTTTTCCTGTTTCATCTTAACCATTCCGGTGGGTCTGGAGTGGTTTCTTACTGTGTGTGTGTGTTTTAAGAGTTGTGTGGCGGCTGGACGCGGTAGCTCAAGCCTGTCATCCTAGCACTTTGGGAGGCCGAAGCAAGAGGGTTGCCTGAGCCCAGGGATTCGAGACCAGTCCAGGCAACTTGGCAAGACCTTTTCTCTACAATATATCAAAAGATTAGCTAGGCGTGGTGCTGCATGCCTGTAGTTCTAGCTGCTTGGAAGGCTGAGGCAGAAGGATCACCGGAGCCCAGCAGGTTGACGCTGCCACTGCACTCCAGCTTGGGCGACAGAGCGAGACTCTGACTCAAAAAAAAAAAAAAAAAGAGTTGTGGGGCACAAGTGAGGATTTACTACACGAGCAGGTTGCATGAGGCAGGTGAAGTCTGGGCTTCCAGCTGACCCTCTCTCCCCTGATAGCGGGCCAGGTACCCAGTGTGATGCCAGATGCTCCCTCCTCCCTTGCTCCCTCTCTCCCCCAGCAATGACCGGGGTCTGTAGTATTCCATTTGCAAATATATACTGCTTTATCCATTCCACTGGTAATAGACACTGTTTTTTTTTTAAATTCCTAATTTGTGGCCATTATAAAGAGTTCCCTTATAAAGGTGTCTTTGGATGAATGTGTGCCCAGGAGTGGACTTGCTGAGTCTGGCTTTAGCGTCTCTTTCCAAAATGGTTGTACCCAGTGTGCCCCTGTGGCCAGTCTCGCTCTGGTTTTAATTCACATTTCTCTGGTGACTAACAAAGTGGAGTGTGTTCTTTTGTGAAGTGCCTGTTCAAGTTTTGCCCATTTGCTATGGACTGTATGATCTTCTCACAAGTTTGTAGAAATTCTTTATAAGTTCTGGGTAAGAATCATATATGTCCATACATCTCCTTTGATTCTATGGCTTGTTTTTTCACTCTCAATACTATCTTTTGATAAACACGGTTTTAAACTTTCATATAGTCCCATTTACCAATATATTCTTCCATGTGCTTTTTACGTCCTGATGAAACAATAATTTTTAAAATTTCTTTAAAACATCTCAAAATGTATTTAATGAAATACAGCTGACTCAAGAAACTGCATACTCAAAGTGTCTACTCTGTTAAACTCTTGGGAGTGATAGATAGTGTCAGTTATCTTGATTGTGGGTATAGACTCAAGAGTGAACACGTATGTCAGGACGTTTGCTTTAACAGCTCAATAATATTTCAGCTTCTGAAGGTATTCTAACTTGTTTTTCCATTTCTCCAATATTGAGCAATGAAACTGCTCTCCCTATCATTAAGAAAATCTCTCTGTTTAATGTCATCAGGATGAAACAGCACAGATGAAGAGAAGATGACAGATAAAGTTTGTGGAAGACAAGTGGTGCCAGGTTGCTTGGCAATGCCATCATGCAAGGAAAGAGAGCAGAGATGTTGCTAGGATGGCGAGGAATGCTTGGGCCGGCTGCACGTTGGTAATGAGCTGTCAGGTGTCGTGATGTGCCGTGCTTAAGTAACAGCGTGCAAGATCAGCACGGCAAGAGTGTCAACCTGGGGGGAGGGGGGCGGGCTGTGACAGCTGTCTGCTTTGGAAGAACCGGGCTCTGGCAGGGAAAAATAACCTTTTTCTCTTCTTAAAAAGGGTTTTTAATCACAGGAACACCTGCTCATTTTATTAAAAATCAGGAGTATTCGTGCATTCAGTGAAAGTCCTTCCCGATCCCTGTTCCCTCTCCTCATAGATAACCTCTGGAAATATTTTGGTATGTAATGTCTCAGACATTATACATATAGAGATCTATAATTATAGTCTGTGCATAGCATGTATGTACAGTTATTCTATGTAGAGAGCAAGAGAGAAAGAGAGGCATAAAGAGTGAGAGAGAGGAGAGCAAGAGAAAGAGCGCAAGGAAAAGAGAGAGGGAAAGAAAGCTAGAGGGAAAGGGAAGGAGGGAGAGAGGGGGGAGAGAGAGACAGAGAAAGACAAGGGGGAGAGGGAAGGAGAGAGAGGGAAAGAGGGAGAGAGACGGGGAGGGAGAGAGACAGAGAGGAAGAGAGAGACTGGGGGCGGAGAGAGAGAGAAGGCTCACTGGTTTCTTAAAAACAGCCCTGCATGAAGCACACCGCCGCAGCCTGGCAGCTGCCCCCTTGCTGTCCCATCCGAGGCCCCCTTTCCTAGCAGTGTGCCACTGGTGTCTGCCCCTCTGTTTCTCCCGACACAGCTCAGGGCAACTGACATGCCCAGTCTCCGTCCCAATGCCTGCAGCCACCAAGATCGCTCTGACTGAGACCACCAGGTGGGGTGGTGGGAAGGCAGGCGGCTGCCCGGGCCAGCGAGGCCGGCACTGGGCAGATCCCCTGAAGCATGGCCGCTTCCAGGGTGGGTGCTGGCTTCATCCTCCAGGACATCCTCCTGCCCTGGCCCCCTGCCTCTCCCAGGACCACGTGGGTCTGGTCAGGAGCCTGCAGTGGCCCAGTGGGTCAAGTAAGAGTGAAGCCTGCTGGGTAGGAGAGTAGTGTAGCCCTAGAACCCTGGACACCTGGCCAGCTTGAAGGGCCCCCCCCCGCAACATCTGTGTCCCCTTGTGAGAAGGGCACCGCCACATCTTCTGGTTTTCAGGAAAAGCCAGAAACCCACGTGTGAATCAAAAATCTGATTTTCAAATGTCGACAGCTGAGTTTTAAAAATATGTACTGTCAGGCTCAGTGGCTCAGCCTGTCATCCCAGCACTTTGGGAGGCCGAGGTGAGTGCATTGCCTGAGCCTGTGGGTTCGAGACCAGCCTGGGCAACTTGGCGAGACCTCGTCTCTACAATTTAAACAAAAGTATTCAGGTCCTTATCCTTTATTTTAAAAATAAACCTTATATTTTAGAACAGTTTTAGATTTTTCTTTTTTAATTTTGGAAGGTACACATGCATGTTGGCTACATGGGCATACTATGCAGTGGTGGGGATTGGGTCTCAAGTAGCCCATTTCCCAGAGAATGAGCATTGTGCCCCGTGAGTAGTGTCTGAACCCTTGTCCCTCCGTGCCCCCTTACTGATGTCCCCAGTGACGATTCTTTCCATCCCTGGACTGTTCAGCTCCTCCGTGAGTGAGGACATGCGGTGTCTGGTTTCCTGTGTCTGAGTCAGTCCCCTGGGGATGATGGTCTCCAGCTCCATCCCTGTAGCTACAAAGGACAGGATTCGCTCTTTTCGATGGCAGCATAGTATTCCATGGTGTATATACACCACGTTGTCATTATCTGCTGATCTGTTGATGGCCACTTTGGCTGATTCCATATCTTTGCCACTGTGAGTCGTCCTGTGATGAACATGCAGGTGTAGGTGTCTTTTTTACATAACAACCTCTATTCCTTAAAGTGGATTATCACCTAGTAGTGGGGTTGCAGGCTCAAATGGTAGATCTACTTTTAGTTCTTTGAGTCGTCTCCATACCGCTTTCCATAGAGGCTGTACTCATTTATACTCCCGCCGGGTGCAGTGGCTCAAACCTGTAATCCCAGCACTTTGGGAGGCCGAGGTGAGAGGATTGCCTGAGACCAGCCTGGGCAACTTGGCGAGACCTAATCTCTGTAATAAATAAAAAAAATTAGCCGGGCCTGTGGTTACTGCTACTTGGAAGGCTGAGATGGAAGGGTTGCCAGAGCCCATCAGGTTATCGCTGGGGTGGCCATGAGCGTGCTACTACACTCCAGCCTGGCCGGTGGAGTGAGACTCCAAATGAAAAAAAAATTGCACTCCCACCAACAGTGTATAAGTGTTCCCTTTTCTCCACATCTGCACCAGCACCTACTGTTTTTTTATTATTTAATAGTGGCCAGTCTGACTGGTATCATGTGGTAATCTCATTGTGGTCTTAGTTTGCATTTCCCTGATGATGACTGATATAGAGCATTTTTTCATATGTCTGTTGGCTGTTTGTATATCTTCTTTTGAGAGGTGTCTGTTCATGTTGTGTGCCTACTTTTTAATGGGATTCTTGGTTTTTTTCTTGCTGATTTGTTTGAGTTCTTTGTGGATTCTGGATATGAGTCCTCTCCTCCCATTCTGTAGGTTGCCTAATTGCTCTGTTGATTCTTTCTTTTGCTGTGCAGAAGCTTTTTAGTTTAATTAAGTCCCACTTGTTTATTTTTGTTTCAGCTGCACTTGCTTTTGGGGTTTTAGCCATAGATTCTTTGCCGAGGCCGATGTCCAGAAGAATTTTGGGGGTGTTGTCTTCTAGGACTTTTATAGTTTCTAGTCTGACAGTTAGGTCTTTAACCCATTTTGAGTTAATTTTTGTATATGAGGAGAGAAAGGGATACAGTTTCATTTTTTCTGTATGTAGATATCCAATGTACTCAGCTCCATGTGTTGAAAAGGGTGTCCTTTCCCCAGTGTATGTTTTGGTCTGTTTTGTTAAAGATAAATTGGTTGTAGGTATTTGGGTTTACTTCTGGATTCTCTGTTCTGTTCCATTGGTCCATACGTCTGCTTTTGTCCCAGTACCATGCTGCTTTGGTTACCATAGCCTTGTAGGATAACTTGAAGTCAGATAATGTGATGCCTCCAGCTTTGTTCTCTCTGCTTAGGATTGCTTTGGCTATTCTGGCTCTTCTTTGGTTTCATACGCATTTTGGAATTGTTTTTTTCTAATTCTGTGAAAACTGATGTTGGTAGTTTGATAGGGATGGCATTGAATCTGTAGATTACTTTGGGTAATATGGTCGTTTTAATAATTTTGATTTTCCAATCCATGAGCATGGGATGTTTCTCCATTTGTTAGTGTCCTCCATGATTTCTTTCATCAGAGTTTTGTAGTTCTCCTTGTAGAAAGAGATCTTTCTTCTCCTTGGTTAAATGTATTCCCAGGTACTTTAGCTTTTTGGCTGCTATGGTAAATGGAATTGAGTTCTTGATTTGATTCTCACCTTGGTTGCTATTGGTGTATGGCAGTGCTATGGATATGTGTGTGTTGATTTTGTATCCTGAAACTTTACCAAATTCATTTTCAGGAGTCTTTTGGAGGAGTCTTTAGGGCTCTCTGGGTATAAGATCATACAGTCCTGATGTGTTGGGTTTTCAGTTGCCAGCTGTGGCACCCCTGTGCTATGTACTTGCCTGGGCTCACAGCATCCTGAGTGGCCGGCATGGCTTGGAAAGTGCTAGCTGGTGCTTGGGATCTGGCCTTCCCCAAAGCTGAGGTGTTGTATCTGATGTGGTGGGTGGTACGATTGACCACTGGCCAGGAAGTGGCCCTCGTGGGAGGACGCTGGCTGCAATCGTGGCTGTAGAGCTCCTCCTTGGTGAGTGTTGCTCTGAGGAAGTGCTCAGCCAGCCTATGATAAAAGCAGGGCTCTGGAGATTTCCCAAGTTTTTTGTCTGTTTTGAGCCTTCTGGGGTACTGCAGGGAAGAGGAGCTGAGGCGCCCCCAAGTGTTCACTCTTAGCTGCCCCAGTGGGAACTGAGGGAGTTCCAGGCCAGTGGGCAGGCCCAGAAGACTTCACAAGGGCAAGGAGAGGTTGCTATGGCAACATTTCCCACGGGGCTCCACCTTGGCCTCAGGCAGTCTGTGGTCTGAATGTCAAGGCCTGCACCCCTCAGGGCCTCGGTGTTCTCAGGCCACCTGCCCGGTAGGGATTGTGTGCCTGCACTGAGTTTGCCCCTGGGCCCGCGTTCCCTCCCAAGCTGCCTGCAAAGCAGCTGCTCTTCCCCGCAAGGGTCAAGTTCCTGGGAAATGGTGGCCGGCACTGCTCGAGGCTTCTTCCTGCACCACTTCATGGAAGAGCATGGTTGTGGGTCAGGCGGTTTCCCATGAGGGACTAGGGTCTCACGGCGCTCGGGGAGCCCTGAACGTTCACGGCCAGAGCACAGAACTCCCCGACTCCAGTCACGCACCATTCTTACTGTGTCCAGAGGTTATGGTGGACTGTGGTGGTGCAGGCAAGTCTCTGGCCAGGTCCAGCCTGGATAACAGTTTTAGCTTTACAGCAAAGATGGCCAAGATAGCACACAGAGTTCCCACACGCCCCACACCCAGTTTCCCGTTTTCACGTCTTATATTGGTCTGGTATATTTGTCACCATGAATGAGCAGGTGATAATAGATTGTTATTAACAGTTGATGCAGTTTTCCTTAGTTTTACCTAATGTCCTTTTTCCATCCCTGGATGCTGTCTGGGATCCACATTACATCTTGCCACGTGTCTTTAGTTTGCTCTCGCCTGTGAGTTTCCCAGCCTTTCTTTTCTTCTTTTGTTTTTCTCTTTTGATGACTGCCAGCTCTTTTATTTATTTATTTATTTATTTATTGAGTTGGAGTCTCACTCTGTCACCCAGACTGGAGTGCAGCGGCCGCTCCCGGCCACCGCAGCCTCGAGCTGCTGGGCTCCGCAATCCTCCCACCTCAGCCTTCCAAGTAGCTGGAACTACAGGCGTGCGCTACCCACACCCAGCTAATTTTTTGATTTATTGTAGAGATGAGGCCTCGCCAAGTTGCCCAGGTGGGTCTCGAACCCGCGAGCTCAGGCAATCCACTCACCTCAGCCTCCCAAGGTGCAGGATGACAGGCTGAGCCACCGAGCCCCGCGACTGACAGTTCTGAGGAGTACTAGGGGGCATACATATTGAGTTTTCTTGTCATGTCTCTAAAGATGAACCTGAGGTTATGGGTTTGGGGAGGAAGACCACAAGGGTAAAATGCCATGTTCATCATATCATATCAAGGACACATGCTATCCGCACGACTACTCACTGTAGAGGTTGACCTTGGTCTCCTGGCAGAGGCCATGTTCCCCAGGTTTCTCCATGGTCCCTACCCCCATGTTCCTATACTCCATGCTGTGGAAGGAAGTCACTGCACAACCCACACGTGGGGAGTGGGGAGTGGGAGTCACCACCTGAAGGACAGGGTCCCTTGCACAGACCATGTAGACTGGTTCTGGGAAGGGCCTTCCCGTCCCGCTCCAACCTAGCTTTTGAATCTGTCCCTAGGTGCTCCCTCCTTCTCCAGCCAAGATCATGGTCCTAGACACCAGTACACAACGCCCAGGGCAGTACCCTTCTCGCTCCTGTCATTGCAAGTCTAAGCACCCTCTCCCCTCTCCTTCCCAGCATCCTCTTGTCCCTTGTCCTCAGAGCACGCCTTCTCTCATGCCCACCGCTCTCTCATCTCCGAGTCCCTCTTGTCCCTCGATCCCAGGGCCCTCTTGTCTCTTGTACCCCATGCCCTCTTGTTCATCCTTTGTCCCCAGCACCTTCCTGCTTTGTCCCAGTGCCCTGTTGTCTCTTGTCCCCGTGCCCTCTTCCCTTTCCCCAGTGTCCTTATCCCTCTTGTCCCCAGTGCCCTTTTGTCTCAGCTCCAGCGCACTCTTTCTCTTGGACCACCGCTCTCCTGTCCCTTGTCCCCAGTGCCCTTTCGTCTCTTATTTCCGGCCCCTTCTTGCTTCTTTTCCCCAGTGCGCTCTTGTGCCTTGTGTCAGGGCCGCCTTCTCTCTTCACCCAGCACCCTCTCGTCTCTGGTCCCCAGCACCCCCTTCCCTCTTGGCCCCAGTGCCCTCCTCTCTCTTGTTCCCAGCACCCTCTTGCCTGCTGTCCCGAGCGTAGGCTTCTCCCTTGTTCCCAGGCCCTCTTATCAACACCACCCTCCTCATGTGTCTTGTTTTCGCTTTTATGTGGCCACAAAAAAGTGTGGCTACACTTTGTTCTGTGTCCCCCTTCATAGATTTTGTTCTCCTCGGACCTCCTTGACTGCTCAAGCACCCCCCTACTCTAGAACATCTTCCCAGAATTCAGTCTGCATGACTTTCCTCCCAGTCTCAAGATTTGTTGGGCCTCTCCCCAACCCATGGTATTATTCTTCCCCATGGTTACTTCTCAACAGTCTCCCTGCTTGGCTGAGAGTTTCTGGGAGTGGGACTGTGTCTTCAGTTGCCATTCTATTCCCTGTGCCTGCACCAGCCACCTGGCAGATTCAGGATGAATGAATGAAAAGCTTACAGAATTCCAGAATGACATTTCTTCTTTGAATTCCCAGTCTTTTGTCTTGTCAACAGTCACTGTGTTCTGCCTGCTCTCGTGGCTGTTTGAGTGTGTTTTACTCGTTTTAGTAGCACCATTGCTTTTTGAGGGCTGCAAATGCATTCTGTTTGTCCTGTAGTTTCTAGGTCAGTGTCCTGCACATAACAGGTGTTTCACTGAATGAGCGAATGAACAAATGAACGAAGATCCCTGCACATGTAATTGAGGAGAGTGAATCACATAGGAAAGGAAGAATAATCAACGGAAAATACGTGGTAGAATTCTCAAGCTAAACCAAGTGGACTTGTGACACCTCCTAGCACGTTATTTTTAAATTTTTATCATATGCAAATAAATATTGTCACATTTCTACTTAAGTAAAAAAAAAAAAAGCAAAACATAACTTTGTTGTAAATTAAAGTGCCCCTTTGCTCCCAAACAACACAAAATGACAGCCAAGGCTGATTCTGTTCTTAGAGACGGGCCTTCCTCCAAAAAGATTCACCCTGGGACGCTTAAAGATAGCTGACTGTTGTATAACGCAGCACACGCTCCTTCCACCCCCTTGAAAACCAGCACAGCAATGTTCAAACAGCACTGTTCTCTATCTTTAATAAAACACAATTGTTCTAAATGGCCTCTGCTGGGGAGAAGACAGCACAAAGCCACCATTCTGGGGGGAGCGGGAAACGTCCCGACGGTAAGATAGATGACCACAATCGTCCACGCCAAACTCAACTGTTGCAGAAGGACCTTGCTCAGAGGAAGCTGCGTCAGGAGAGGGTTTGGCTCCTCCTTTGATCTTGCCCAAAAGTACATTTTAGGGAGGCGACTTCCCAATTAGAATTTGGTTAGAACAGCCTGTAGAGGGCGTCCTTGCACCAAGAGCCATGTGGAGCTTTCAGCAATACTAACGGAAAAAAAACAAAAATGGAAAAAAAACAAAAACAAAAGAAACACTTCAATTAAAACCACAGGCCCCAAGTCCAAAACAATGTCGATTATGCTGTGAAATTATGATCTTTAACTGGGTGACATTGGCATCACAGTGTTAAAAGTGTTGTGAAGGCTGCCTGATGTCATAGTCCATTATACAAATGAATTTTCACTGAAATAAAAAAGAATGAAAAGTTGGAAATGAAGTCGCTATTTTTATTTTACAGGAACAAAGACTGTGCCGTTTTGGATGCAAAAGCATGATTTTCTTATCAGTGTGAGTGATACAGAGGTCCTCAAACTTTTAAAACAGGGGGCCAGTTCACTGTCCCTCAGACAGTTGGAGGGGCGGACTATAGTTTTAAAAAAAACTATAACAAACTATGAACAAATCCCTTTTCTTTTTTTTTAAACTATAGTCTGCCCCTCCAACGATCTGAGGGACAGTGAACTGGCCCTCTGTTTTAAAAGTTAGGAGAATGGACTTTGGAATAAGAGTGCCTGGGATTTGGACCCCACCTGTGTCACTTACCAGCTGAATATCCACCTGCAACTTCCCCACTTTTGGGGCCTTGTTTCCCCATCAGTAAAACGGGGATAATAATAGTATCTACTTAAAAGAGTTGTGATGATTAAGTAAGCACTTAAAAGGAAAGTACTTGAAATTTAACACACTAGGCCACGCCTAGTGGCCTAGTGGTGGTTCATGCCTATAATCCCAGCACTATGGGAGGCCAAGGAGGGAGGACTGCTTGAGCCCAGGAGGTCGAGACCAGCCTGGACAACATATGAATCCTCATCTCTACAAAAAGAATTTTAAAAAATCAGCCAGGTGTGGTAGTGTGTGCCTCAAGTTCCAGGCAAGAGGATCACTTGAGTTCAGGTGTTCGAGGCTGCAGTGAGTCGTGATGGTGCCACCACACTCCAACCTGGGCAACAGAGTCAGACCGTAACTCAAACAAACAAACAAAAAAATTAGGACATTAGTTCAAATCAGTCATAATGAGCAGATTCTTGTCTAACCCCCCCCCCCATCAGTTGTAAAGCTGAAGATACGTCATGGCTGGAAACGTGTCTTCTGTTCTTTTTGGTAACTTCTCATGACCCAACGTGGGTCTGACTTAAAGCATGCACATGTCAGGCTGCTTCTGTTTGTCCCTCTGAGTGTCCACTGCTCTACAAAGGACCCAGCAAAACAACACACCCAGCCCAGATACTCCATCCTCGGATGTCTGTTGCGGCATCTGGACACTAAAGAAAAAAAGAAGAAGTAAACAAGCATTTTCTGAGTTTGAAGACTTCTAAGTTTTTGGAAATGTGTTGTTTCCATTGCATTTGCGTATCCATTGGAAAGGATGCAGAAGCAAACCCTCTCCGTGGGCCGGGTGGATGGGTTATGTGTGGCCTAGGCCGGCCACATGTGGACTCCCGGGCCAGGCGGGAGCCTGCCCCCAAGTGCCACAGAGCTCAGTCCACCAGCACATGGGAGGTCAGCCACGACTCGAGGGAGCTCCACCCCAGTGGTCAGACACAGCCGGTCATCCAGGGCCCAGAGAGCCCTTCCAGACACTGCCAGGCCTTCAGGGACACATGGGCCTCCCCAACCGCGGGCATCGGGCACGTGATCACCGGGCGCCCGCAGCCAAGCCCTCTGCCTGGCGTCTGCCCCACCGCACCGCTGAGCCTCGGCTTTCAACCAGACTGGGGGGGGGCGGGAAGTGTCCACGGGGCGTGGAATCAAGGTCACGGGGTTTACAGGAATGACACCAGCAGAGAGGGAGACCATGAGGAATGTGTGGCTTCAGTGGGCACTGGGCTTGGAGTGGGCACCGCCGCCACCGCCACCACCGTCACAGGCACTCCGCCGAGCCCCGCGCGTCTGCTCCCCCGAGTCCCTCCACCCACGCCTCCCCCGGCCCGGGAGGGGGCGACCGGAGGCCCGGGGAGTCCCGCGAGGG